GAGTAATATTCCATTGTATAAATGTACCACAGTTTCTTAATCCAGTCATCTACCGATGGGCATTTCGGTTGTTTCCAAGTCTTGGCTATTGTGAATAGCGCTGCAGTAAACATAGGGGTACATATATTTTTTCGAATTAGCAAGTATTGACTTTTTTTTTAAAGCAGTTAATTAACTTGACTCAAATTCCAAACTCTGTCTCCAGGGGCCCTTTACTATACTCATTTACTGCTCTCAGATGATCCTCTGAAAATGCTGGGTTAATTTCTGCCCCTGGACCCTTAGAAAATTGTCTAACTTTTAGAGTTGACTGATGGCAATCTCACTAGATTATGCGAAAAGGTTTGTCATGTGTCCTTAAAATGTTCTGTACCCATTGATCTAATCATTCCTGTTATGTTATTCCATCAGAATTAAGGGACTGGCTTAGAGTCTGAAATACCCAAAACATGGCCAATTTTCATGGGTATTTTTTGTTTTTTTGTTTGTTTGTTTTTTGTTTTGCATGCAGGACTTTGTATCTCTAAGCCATGTGTGATCTCCTTATTGGAGCAAGGGAAAGAGCCTTGGGAGATGAAGAGTGAGATGACAGGAAGCCCATTCTCAGGTAAGTGTGGAAGAACCAGATAGAGGAATCCTTTCCAAGTAATGGCTCAGCCATTTTCAAAGGTGATCCTCCTCACTTACACGTTAGAAGTCTTTTCAAGCCTTCCAGGCCTGGGGGAAAAGCTGAAATGCTACTGCTTAGCTTGGACTTTCCAAATATATTCTCTTCTACTTGACTCTCAACTAATAACTCACTTTGCAAAAATCTTTATCCAACTCCTTTCCACCCCCTCTTTCTTTTTGCCATACAGATTTATATAAGCTTCTTGGTTTCTTAAATCTTTCTTAATAGAAAATTAGGTGCTGCTTGCAATTATAACATACTCTGCTGCTGTAAATCTTTGGTTTCCTGTTACAAATAAGAAAAATCCAAATTCTGCCAGCCCCTCGGTGATCCGTGATTTTCTACTTCTCCAGCCTTATCCTAATTCACTTTATAGCTTTTTCACTATACTTTAGTCCAGAGTTTTCTAAACTATGCGAGGTACTCAGGTGTTTTCAAGTACGTTACAGGTATGTTAAGATATGAGTCTCTCAGCTTTGGAGATGGGTCCAGTGTTCATAGCAGGCACATTTATTCCTTCTTCAAGATTTATAGTCTGGGTCACAAGGCAAGAAAGTTGCTTATGTGGCAGGAAATTAAAAGAAGGTTAATAATAGTGATGCCAACCCTCATATTACTATAAAAATAGTTTCTTCAAAAGCACACATGGCAAAATCCCCTTAAAATGTGGCCTGAGAAGTAAATAGGTAAATGAAAAAATTCCTTATCTGCAGTCTCAAGTTCCAGGATCTTTGAGAAATGAAGAGTTCACTATATGGAAGCACATGAAGATGGTTCACAGGTATATTATTTTCTGAGTATGAAAAGAGAACTCTAGGATCTCACCGAAACCCCAAGGGAAGTCACAAAGCAGAAGGAACTGCGGTTGCTGGGAATCTATAGAGATCTTTGAGCAGCAGTATGGATGCTATTGCTGTGATGATATTGGTATTTAAACAGTTAACCTAGCTGTTATGCAAATCAATTAGAAGTGAGACAGAATGAGGAAGGGAGCTTAATTTATAGTCTGTTAATTAATACAGGCATAAAATATTATTTCCTGGCAGACTACTTCTCTAGGACCTCATTATCCTATGGTTTAATTTTCTTAATCACCTGTTCATCTTCCTCTATGAACTCTCATTCTTTGGTCTTGTTGCAATTTTTCAGTTGACATGCCTGTATATAATAGATTTTGTGGGGATTCATTATTTTTAATCCCCTTTTCCATGTTTAATATTTCCTTTGTTATAGCCCATGAAAGGAAACATTTGCTTTTTTGATGTCTTTCAGATTGGGAATTTAGATATGAGACACAAGAATTATCTCTGAAGCCATTTATGTATGATGATGTGTTAATGGAGAGAATTACAAGCTATGGACTTGAGCATTCCACTTTCAGAGAAGATTGGAAAGGTGAAGATCTTGATGAAAGGCAGCTGGTAAGTCAAGAGACATTTATCAGGCAAGAAACACTAACTCATAAAAAAACCCTTACTAAAGAAATAGACCACAAATATAACAAATCTGGGAAATTTTTCTATCTAGACAATGCAGGAGAGAATGTTTATAATCACAAGTCTGATAAAATGAACTTTCCCCAAAATTCCATAGTGAAAAAACACAAGAGAGTCTACGGAGGAAAGAAACTTTTTAAATGTAATGAATGTGAGAAAACCTTCACCCAGAGGTCATCTCTTACTGTTCATCAGAGAATTCATACTGGTGAAAAGCCATATAAATGTAAGGAATGTGGGAAAGCTTTCAACCAGAGTCAGCACCTAGCTCAACATCACCGCATACATACTGGAGAGAAACTCTATGAATGTAAAGAATGTGGGAAAGCCTTCAGCCAAAATGTACACCTTATTCAGCATCAAAGAATTCATACTGGAGAAAAACCATATAAATGTAAGGAATGTAGAAAAGCCTTCAGCCAGCCTGCACACCTTGCTCAGCATCAGAGAATTCATACTGGGGAGAAGCCCTATGAATGTAAGGAATGTGGAAAGACCTTCAGTGATGGCTCATCCTTTGCACGACATCAAAGATGTCACACTGGCAAAAGACCCTATGAATGTATTGATAGGGGAAAGCCTTCAGGCAGAACACAGCCCTTATTCGTCACTGGAGATATTATCACATTGGATAGAAACCCTTTGATTGTGTTGATTGTGGGAAAGCCTTCAGTGATCACGTAGGCCTTATTCAACATAAGAGAATCCATACTGGAGAGAAACCCTACAGATGTAGCGTGTGTAGAAAAACCTTCAGCTACAGCTCATCCCTTATTGTACATCAGAGAATTCACACAGGAGAGAAACCTTATGAATGTGATATCTGTGGAAAAGCCTTTAGCCATCGTGCTTCACTCACTCAACATCAACGAGTGCATTCTGGAGAGAAACCTTATGAATGTAAGGAGTGCGGGAAAGGCTTTAGGCAGAGTATACACCTTTCTAGTCATCTGAGAATTCATACTGGTGAGAAACCCTATGAATGTAGGGAGTGTGGAAAAGGTTTTAGCATCAGTTCACAGCTGGCCACTCATCAGAGAATTCATACTGGAGAGAAACCTTATGAATGTAGGGAATGCGGTAAAGTCTTCAACCAGAGTGCGCACCTTGCACAACATCATAAAACTCATACTGGAGAGAAGCCTTATGAGTGTAAGGCATGTGGGAAAGCCTTCAGCCAGGCTACCTGCCTCATTCAACATCATAGAGTTCATACTGGAGAGAAACCCTATAAATGTGCTGAATGTGGAAAGGCCTTTGGTGATAGTTCATCCTGTGCTCAGCACCAGAGACTTCACACAGGCCAAAGACCTTTTGAATGTATTGAATGTGGGAAGGCATTTAGGACAAAATCATCCTTTATTTGTCATCAAAGATGTCACACTGGGGAGAAACCTTATGAGTGTAGTGCATGTGGCAAAGCCTTTAGCCATCGTCAATCCCTTACTGTTCATCAGAGAATCCATTCTGGGGAAAAACTGTATGAATGTAAGGAATGTAGAAAAACCTTTAGCCAGATTGGACACCTTAATCAACATAGAAGAATTCATACTGGAGAGAGGTCTTATGAATATAAGAAGTGTGTCAATGTCTTCAGACAAAGTGCACACCTTGCTTATCATCAGAAAATTCATGCCACAGAGTCAGCTCAGGCACCCAGCTCTTCCTCACCCCCTATGTCACCAAGGTCTGTGGATATATCTGCTAAATATTTTTGGAATTCATCCCCTTTCAAGTCTCATTGCCCTCGCTCAAAACACATTCCTTTCACCTGGACTATTCCAATTGTGTAAGAACTGGTTCCCTTGCATCATCTTGTTCCTTTCAAGTTCATTTTTCACACTGCTGCTACAGTGGTCTTTAAAAATTCTAACTGTATTACTCTCCTCTTAAACCCTGTAATGAAAGTTTAAACTAGTCAATGCACATAAAGTACTTAGTATAGTGCCTGACTCTGAGTACTTGTTTAATGTTAGGTCAGTATTTTTCAGTCTGTTTAAACATTCTTTTTAAACAATAAATTCTGGAAAGCAGTGTATCAGTGCTAGAATATCATAACAATTTTGGAACTGAAATTACATCTTATGGGGGTTGATGAGGATTAGCATTAGTATGTTTAAAGCTTAATATTATAATAAAGTAATACAGTGGCTTTCCCATGACTTTGAGGCTGTGTTCCTTTGGTGGTGAGGAAATTCAGTATGACTTGATGCATAGAATACGTTTTTGGTTGTGTTTGGAACTGTCGATAGGACTAGAGAAAATGAATTTGAACTTGCTGGGAAGAATGTAAGACACTGTTTAGTCCAGGGGAAAAAAAATAAATATTACTAATATCTAAAAGTGAAGAAATAGAGAACTTGAATAGTCTATCACTATTTAAAGTCACCTGGTTTCATAGATTCTTAACTTTCAAGGAAGCACTAATTAAGCTTTTGTAGAGTATAGAAAAAAAATATTAGGGGTCGGCCGAGTGGCACAGTTGGTTAAGAGCAAGAGCTTTGAGCAACAGGGTCATCAGTGCAATTCCCACATGGGCCAGTGAGCTGCACCTGAGCTGAGCTGCCGCTGAGCTGGCAACAGGTGGAAGGATGGCTCAGCTGGTGAGAGCACATGCTCTTAACAAGGTTTCTGGTTTGACTCCCGCATGGGATGGTGGGCTACGCCCACCCCCAACTAAGATTGAACACAGCACCCTGAGCTGAGCAGCCATGAGCTGTTGACAGGCAGCCAGATGGCGACTGGACTTGGGAGCTGAGCTAGCTGTGCCCTCCACAACTAAGATTGAAGGATAGCTTGGCTGTTCCCCTTCCCCAATTCCCCAACACTGTTCCCCCTTCCCCAATTCCCCAGTAAAATCTTTAAAAGAAAAAATATTAGAAATATTCCACTCTCTTCATGAGGCTAACTCAACTCTGTTATCAACCCCAGGGAAAAAAAATGAAATTATAGATGAATTTACTCATGGTTATACGGAGAAAGGAAGTTACTCTGTTGAAAGAACAGAGGCTCTAAATAAGTGAAGATCCACACAGGTTTCTAGATGGAAGTTTCAACATTGTAAAGGTGTCTGTATATTCACTCAATTCCAGTCATATTCCTTGTAGGATATTTTTACATTGACCATTTTCTTCTGAAATTCATGTAGAATAGTAAGTGAGCAAGCTCCTGAAGGAAATTTTTGAAAACAATCATATACCCATGAATTTAGTATACAGTAATACCTTGGTTTGCAAGCATAATTTGTTCTGGAAACAAACTACTCGTATTGCAAGACATTGCTCGTTTACCACATTAAAATGTATTAGAAATGTTTGCTCATCTTGTGGAATACTCGCAGATCAAGTTATTTGCAATCCAAGGTTTTACTGTATTGCAAAAGTGGTATTTTTGATGTGTCACTGGGAGGAATGGATTATTTAAATGGTGTCTGACAGTTCTCCAACTGGAAATACAAGTGAGATCTACATTTCATCCCTTACAGAGAATTCATTCAATATGGATGAAAGATGTAATAGGAAACACAATATGAAGATTCTAGAGCAGAATTTAGAATATTTCTATCCTTTCAGGTTGAGGAAGACCTTGGTAAGCAGGACACAGAGTCTAGGAACCATAAAGAGAGAGAGTAACAGGTAGGACCATGTGAAAGATTTAAACCTTTTCCATTGTATAAGACACCATATGTAATGTTAACAGGCACATGAAAGGCTGACAGACATTTCCAACATATTACAAAGGATGGAGCCCTTAGAGGAAGTGCTTAATGGAAACCAGCAAGGATAAGATAAAATACAATCTGAAAAAACATACCAACAAGCAACTCTTCCATGAATAACCTAAAACAATCAAAATAGAGGCAGTTCTTAACTGTAATAATTACCAGATAAATGTAAATTTTAAAACTCCTCACTTCTAACACAAACCAGCACAAATTTTATGTCATTGTGAAGGCTGGCTAATATCCAGTATTGTTGCAGATGTGAGAAACCATATTTTCATATCATTTAGAGGGTATATTGGTGGAAAAGCACTTTATAGGGCAAGGTGGTGTTACCTGTCAACATTTTAAATGTAATTAATCAGTCTTTGCCACAATTCTACATATAGGTACTTACCTTCTCGAAAAGCACAAGTGCAGAAATATATGCATAAGCACATTTATTAAAAAATAGTAAAAGATTTGGAACAGGTATAACATCCAACCCTAGTAAATCGATGACTTAAATTACAGAAAAATCAGCTCAGGAGATTAGTATGCAGTCACTGAAAACAATTAGGTGGATCTCAGTGTTTGTCATTTATTAATTGAAAATGTAATTTTCATAACCATATAATGTGATCACTTATAGTAGTTTTAAATACATGAACTTTATAAAGTTAAAATTACGAAAATGCATACATATCAGATGATATTTGTTGTTTTTCTCTACTATACAAATAAAAACCTTACACACACAAACTCCTTCCCTGAGCTGCTTTGAGAAGCTGCTCTGGTGTTACTTCTTGAGGTTTTGTTTGTGTTGCCAATTGTATATGGTTCACTTTAATCCAGTTAGATACCTTCTCCTTGGGACACAGACAGGAGCTGAGTATGAGTCATCTTTGGGCACGACTTAAAGATGGTGCGTAAATTTCTGCTGCTGTGATTGCTAGAGCCAACCTGATCCATGTTCTTCCCATATATCTCATCAGTAGTTTGTTTTCAATTATTGGGTTGTCAGAAAACTCATGAAGTATATTTTCTACGTTTTTCGTTGCAAAAATGCGTTATGACTTTTCCGACAGCCCAATAGATTGAGTTATTTTGCTGTCAACCAAAGAAACCTAACCAATACAGAAATTGGTGGCATTGGGTTTCAGGCAAAAGGTCCTCAGAAAGTGGATTATTAAAGTTTGGTTATTAGGCTCCCAATCTTATTTTGTGTCACAAAAGCATACGTTGATACAACAGTCAGCTGTTGCCTTAGACCAATAGATGGTAAGAAGTGCCAGTCCAAGACGTATGTGTGATGTCTGCTCATACTGGAATTGGATAATATAATGCAAGAAAAAGAACAACTTCTATCTTAAAATTTTTGCTTGAACACATGGACTACAAAACAAGCCATTTTTTTTTAAAGATTTTTATTGGGGAATTGGGGGGATGGGAACAGCGCTGGGGAAATTGGGGGAAGGGGAACAGACAAGTTGCTGTCGTTTTGTTCTTCAGTCTCGTTGTGGAGGACGTTGCTTCGTTGCTTCACTGGCCCAAGTTGGCACCATCATTGGGCTCTTCCCAGGTGAGGCAGATTAGTCGCCGGCTTCTGGATGGCCGCTCATGGCGGCTGCTGGCTGCTCACGCTGGCTGCTGGCTACATACGGTAGCCCATGGCAACCCACTGCCACAAGGGGCTGCAGCCTAGCCGTTGCCAGTGACTCAGGGCAGCCCAGCTCCAGGTTGAGCTGTTGTTCAGCATCTTAGCTGTGGAGGGCAGTGTCACTGGCCCTCATATGTGGGATCTGAACCGGGGCCCTCTGGCGTCCCAAGCCAGTTCTCAAATCGTCGCACCACTCGGCCAGTCCAACACAAGCCATTTTTATAACATAGTCAAGACTCGTAGCTATACGGCTGTCGTTGCTAAATATCACAGTTTGGGCAGGTTTCTTAAGTAAAATATTTGATATTAATTAGGAGCAGTTGGTATGGTAGCTATTGGAATGAGGATTTGTGGGATAATTTGGGGTTTTATAACTGTGAGCCCCTAAGAAACATTAAGAAACGATGCCAGCTAATGCTGTCTTGCCTGAGATGGCCATGGATGAAAGTTAACCAGTTTCCCATTTAGCCTATCAATATTATAGCTTCACTGATTTTAAAAATATATTTATTTCATGTACTGAGTATTTCAGTTTGATGAAGTCAAATTTATCACTACTGCCTTTCAGGTAGGTTCGTAAAAGTTGAACCCAAGCAAGACTTGGGGTAAGACTTTTTCCCCCCCTTTTTACATTTATGGTAAATGGTGAGTAAATATTCTTTACAATAAAAGACAAAGTTTATTTTGTTTGTTTCCATTCATAGAACTACCTAGAACTACCTATAGCAACCTTCTCTTTCTGCCCTGAACCTGAAAAAGCATAATTTTAACCAAAGCAGAATGAAAGTGTTTGAGGTTTAGAACAATTTTATTCTAAATTTTTATTCAGGTAAGGAAATTATTGACCATTCCTAGTTTACAAAGCATTTCTTTTTCTTAAATCAGAGATGTGTATTAGATTTTATCAGATGCGTTTTCCTCATGTATTGAGATGACTAGAGGATTTTTTTTCACCTTTATAAATGGTGGTGACTTTCATTAACAGATTTCCCACCCTGGCACCCCTGTGATATATACTTGTAAATGAATAAAATGTCAGCTAACTTCGGATAATGATGAATGTTATGCAGGAGATTTTTTAAGGTCAGGAGGGGTGGTATTTGTGACAGAGGTTGGGCCACTCTCCTGAGATGACCAGTGGATGACACAAATGAGCCAGCCTGGATGAAAAAAGTTTGTGACAAATGAGTGTTATTATTGTAAAAATTCAGTTAATTAGAGAGTTGCAAAGAAAATAAAATAATCCATAATCCTACCACTATTAACCTTTTGATCAATGTATCTGTATACTAGCTATTTTTATTAAAATGAGATCATACTATACTATTTTATAATTTGGTTTTTTAAATGTAACAAGTTATGGATTATTTAGACGTCAATAAGTAATTCCACATTATCATTAATAAAAGAGAGAGATGGATTGGCCGAGTGGCGCATTGCTTAAGAGTTGGCTTGGGACACCAGCTGTGAGCAGCAGGGCCCCGGTTCGGATCCCACATTAGGGCCAGTGACGCTGCGCCCTCTACAGCTAAGATGGTGAACAACAGCTCAACCAGGAGCTGGGCTACTGTGAGTCACCAGCACCTGCATAGGCTGCAATGAAGCTGCAGTGGGCTGCCATAAACTACCCTGAGTGGCTGGCAGCCTGCGCAAGCTGCCAAGAGCCGCTGTGTGCGGCCATCAAGTGGCCGGTGACCTATCTACCTCACCTGAGAAGAGTGCAATGATAATACCAACATGGGCCAGTGAAGCAACATCCTCCACAACTAGACTGAAGAACAAAACGACAACAACTTGTCTGTTCCCCTTCCCCGATTCCCCAACGCTGTTCCCCTCCCCCAACTCCCCAATAAAATCTTTAAAAAAAAAGATTGTTCAGGAGCAACGTCTGCAAGTGCAGGGGCAGCATTGGAGGATGGGTATTGCAGGTGTGGGAGGCCTGAGTATCCAGGGAAAAGGGTCAAAGATGCGCTTCGTAAACACGAAGGCACACTCGCTTACACACACACCATCTCACCAGAATCACAAGCTGGTCCCTCTCAAGGCCCTGCTTTACGCTCCCCGCAGCGCGTACCCCTTTCGGTAAGCTGTGACAACCCGCGAGAAGCCCCCTCGACCATTCTGCCTGCCCCGCCCAGTGTCCTCTACCCTCCCTGCGGCCCCGCCCCTTGCCATAAGACCCCGCCTCGCCTGGCAACCGCGCCTGCGCGCTCCAACCCTGGCGCCGGACTCCCAGAAGCCCTGGGGACGTGGCTTTGTCGCTCGGGGCGGCCTGTATTTCTGGTCAGACTTGGACTTACCGGCCAGGGGCATCGCCGACCAGCGCAGTGTGGGCCGAGTCGGGCCTGCCTCCTTGCACAGTCCGCGTTCCTCCCGACTCCTTCGCGACCCCGGCCGGGACTACGTTTCCCAGAGGGGGCTGCTGTGGAGAACACGCCCACTTCCGGGGGCGACGCTTTGCTCAGCTCTTGTGGGCCCTGTGCGATAGTGGTTTCGGCGCCCACGTTAGTGCGCTGTGGGGACGGAACCGCTGGAAGTCGGGCGTACCCGAGGTGGGCGGGTGTGTCCGTGCGACAGCGGGGACATGCGGGGGTCAGCAAGTGCAGCCGGAGGCGTGGGGCCCCGCGAGCTGGGGTCTCCGGCGCGGCGAGGCGCCCTTCGCACAAAGCCCAGGGCGGGTCGAGGCCAGACTGCAGCGACCCAGGACGCTTTCGTTCGCCGTGGTCCGGGAAGGCCGCGCTCAAAGAATGGCCTCACCCCCAAAGGCCAGCGAAGAGCGGTGACCACAGGGCTTGAGAACAGAGGTGAGGGTGACAAGTGGCCTTGCGGGTTGCCGGGGATGAAGTCATCCCTCACGGGGTGAGGGGATAGAAAGGCTTTGGGCCCAGGTGCTCGTGAATGGTGTCCCCAGGTTCCTGGACTGGTGGGTCGGGTACATCCAAAAGTCTGGAAGTAGAACTTGAGTCAGAGCATCAAGCAGCGGTGCAGGGAGGGACCTGGACTTGCCCAGGGTCACCCTAACCAGACATTCCCTATTTCCATGGTCCCAGGGAAAGGAAACCCTCCCCCCTCCAGTGACAGCTCCCCTTCAAAACTGGCCTCTTCCTGCTCATGCCGGAGTTAGATTCTCTACCTGTGGAAGCCCTTTCTGATTTATGGCTGTAGTAAGATGCAGCAGGAAGGGAGAGTTTCAAAGCTGGTGATTCTGGAGTGCGATGTAGACCTGATCTCTAACTACTCCTTTTTCCCCCCACCTGACCCTCAGGTCTGCCTTTCAGGGACACTGCCCTTCCCCAGGAGAGGAGGCACAAGAAGGAGGCAGCAGGGACGGAAAATGAACCCCAACCCATGTCCCAGGTGAGTTGGCATTTCTTGTCTCCTCTCTGAAATGCACTCTTGCCTTTCAGGACTCAATAATATTTATCTTCTTACAAGTTTTTATTTTAAGAGACCTATTCTGGGAGATGGTTCCCATTTCTTCATGTTCTAGTGAGTGATGGCTACAAGGATAACTGGGGCCTCCCTCCCTGCTTCCTATTTATCCTGTTCAGTGTTCCTTCTTCATAGGTGAAGTGATACAGCTCCTCCCTGCGCCACTTTATCCGAGGGACTCTGATGGAGAGGATTGGTACTCTTTGGGGAAAACATGACAGCCCCTTGTGCTGTACCGGGTTTATTTGGTATCCATATCCTGCCAGCCCCTGCACAAGCAGATGGCTAAGCCCCATTCTCTGCTCGCAAGGAGCGTAGAGCCTGTTGGTGGGAAACATGGAAGCAAAATTGTTTTAGAATGTGAGTGTCCGGCTGAGTACTGTGACTACGCTAGAAGGAGCCCTTGACTTCTGTCTGCCGTTGGGGGTAGGTTATGGAGTTTGACCATAAGATGATTTTTGAGCCCTATTTTTAAGGGCGAGGTGATGTTTGGTAGGCAAAACGGGAAGGGTAGCATTTTCAGTGCAGTGTGAAAGGGTTTCTTTTTCCCATTTGATTGTATGGCTTCTTAAAATGCTAATAGTTTTGTTTGTTTCTGTCAGCTGTGTTTCATATATATATGAACCAGGTTCCAGTTGTCGCATCCAAACTGCTTTTAAGGAGGTCACCAGTGATCCCACATTACCAAATGCAGTGCTCAGTTCTCAGTCTTTTTTTACTCTGTTTGGCACTTGAACTAGCTCAGGGTTTGGTAGGCTTTCACGGTATTACGCTAGGTAGGAAATGTTTTAGGCTTTGCGGGCCGTAAGGTCTCTGCAGCTACTCCCCTTTGCCCCTAGAGCTAAAGCAGGCACAGCTGATCGTTAAATGAGTGGTGGGGATGTGTTCCAATAAAACCGTATTTACAAAAACAGGTGGCTGCCCAACCCCTAAACTGCATCATCCCTAGCCCTCCAATGGGACCCTTTTTTTCCTTGACTTCTAGGATGCCACACTCCTCTCGCTTTCCTCTCAGCTCTCACAGCTGGTTCCTGGTCATCTCTGACCAGTAACTGGAGGCTTGCTTCAGGGCTTTATTTTCACCTCTCTTCTTATCTGTCAGCATACCTTCCTTTGTTCTTGTCAGGAAAAACTAGCCACTTGCTGGCTCCTCCCAAATTCTTTTCTGGCCCAAATCTCTCCAAGCTCTAGGCCTGTGTGTCCAACTTGACTTGGATGGCGAATAGGTAACTGAAACTTACCATGTCCAGACCCAAATTCCTGAGATTCCCTCCAAAACCAGCCTCTCCCACAGTTGTCTTTGCCTCACACCACAGCAGGTTCGTGTTCTCAGTTACTGTGGCCGTAAACCTCGGAGCCATCCTGTCTCCTCTCATACCCTCACCTCCTGTATTTGTGGTCTGTGTGCAAGTCCTGTCAGTACTATTTGAAATTGGATTCAGAATCTGAGGCGCATCACCATGCCCACCACTTTGGCCCCTTGGCAACTCCTCTGTGACCTGCTTCTACTCATGCTCCCCAGGTTGCTTCCCAACACAGCAGCCCGAGGGGTCTGTTCTACCTGCTCTGTCACTCTCTGCTCAAAACCCTCTAGTGGCTGCCCTGAAGGAGGCCAGACCTCTGTTCCAACAGGCCCAATGTGACCTGGCCCCTGGTAGCTCTGACATGGCTACACTGTTCTGTCACTCACTTTGTTTTCTCCAATGTTGCCTTCTCTTCTTGATCACCCTGTCTGAAATTCCGAGCCTTTCACCCAGATCATTAAATGCCTCATCCTTGCTTTACTTTTTTAAACTCTTAGCGCTTTCCAGCATCCTGTACTTTATTTATCTGGTTTTCTTTTGTCTGATTCCCTTCTTGCAAAGTACACCTCACACAGTAGGGATTTTGGCCAGTTTTGCCCCTGCCTGATACAGAAAATAGTTGTTAGATGAAAGTTCTCTTGTAGTTCTCTTGTAGCCCATGTTTGCTTTAATGTAGTATTACAATAATCATATCTGAAAATGTGATTTACCCCAATTATTTGCTGTGAATATATTCACAGAAGTGCTTCTTACTTTGTGGGTTAAAGTTTATCAAACTTACATGAAATCAGAATACTTCTAAAATTATATTTGGACACAACAACAGTAGGGCCTCAAAAGCTAGAATTCATGTTTTAAAAAAAAGTAAACTTCACCAAAAAAGAAAACCCCAAAGTGTATTACCAGTTTTTCATTTGTGTGCTTTCAAATGAACTAAATTAAATTGAACCAGTAAAACCCTCTTTCATGCATGTTTTCCCATAACATGCTTTTCATTCATTTCTTCCTCTAAAATATTAATACAAAGTATTTTTCTCTAAGGATAGAGTTGCTTTTGTTTTTTGTTGGTTTGTTTTTAATATCTGTCTCATCTTTATTAAGATTGAGTGAAAGCACCAAATAGAATTCTTACATTTGGAGCAGATTCTATACCTGGATGTTTTCTCTGTGGTGTAGTGTGATGTGAAACCCACCTGGAAAACTCCACATCTCCGTGGTAGCCACAGGGATAAGAATAGGACCTACACATTTGAAAGTGTTTTGTGACTCTTGAATGAAGTGGGTTGATTAGACATCAGTTAGAAGAAGTTCGTTTTCCTTGAAAGCCGTGTTGTCTAGTGGGTCTTATTTCTCCATCAGGGAGAATGGATAGCAAGTGTTATCAGTTGTCAGAGTGGAACCTGGTAGCATAATGGTCACAGGCGTGGACTGTGAGCCAGACTGCCTGGGTTCAGACACTCGCTCTAGCATTTAGTTGCTGTGCAACCTGAAGGCTACTTAAATGACCACATTTTCTTCATCTGCAAAAATGTGGATAATAACACTACCTTCCTTGTGCTTCTTATTGGGGTTAATTAAGCTAATACATGTCAGGTGTCTGGCATGTGGTAAGAACTCAGTGTTAGCTTTCAGCATCTCATATCAGCATTATTGTTTAGGTGATAAACATTACAAAACAACACGTGGTGTAGGACTGGAGTGGGCTCACTGGCCTGTGGGCCACATCTGGCCCACCAGCTCTCTTTGTATATAACTCACGAGCTGCAAATGGTTTTTTTGTTTGTTTGTTTGTTTTTTAAGATTTTTATTGGGGAATTGGGGGGATGGGAACAGTGCTGGGGAATTGGGGAAGGGGAACAGACAAGTTGCTGTCCTTGATGAGTTGCTGTCGTTTTGGTCTTCAGTCTAGTTGTGGAGGACGTTGCTTCACTGGCCCAAGTTGGCACCATCATTGCGCTCTTCCCGGGCGAGGCACATCAGTCGCCGGCTTCTGGACGGCCGCTCACTGCTGCTGCTGGCCACTCACGCTGGCTGCTGGCTACACACGGTAGCCCATGGCAACCCACTGCCACAGGGGCTGCAGCCTACGCCATCGCTGGCGACTCACAGCAGCCCAGCTCCAGGTTGAGCTGTTGTTCAGCATCTTAGCTGTGGAGGGCAGTGTCACTGGCCCTCATATGTGGGATCCGAACCGGGGCACTCTGGCGTCCCAAGCCAGTTCTTAACCATCGCACCACTCGGCCGGCCCTGCAAATGGTTTTTACATTTTTCAATGGTTGACAATCTTCGAAAGGAGAACGGTATTTTACGATATGTGCAATTATATGAAATTCCCATTTTGATGTTCATGAGTCAAGTCCGCTTGAGCATAGCCCACTCCTTGGCTTACACATTGTCTGCTTCACTGGTAGAGCAGAGCAGTTGTGACAGGCTGTGTGGACCACAGAGCCTGAAATAGTTACTCTCTGGCCTTTCACAGAAAGCCCCTGCTGAACTTTGATGTAAAGGTGAAGACCATGGACCATGGAGCCAGGCTGCCAGGTTCAAGTTCTGGCTCCATAGTGGGCTGTGTGATCTTACGCAGGTTCCAGCTGTGTCTTCATCTATAAAACGAGAACTGTTGGGGTTGTTGTGGGATGAAATAAACTTATATGTCAGTATATAGAAGTGCGTCTGGAATATTCTAAGTGCATGGGCTGTAATTGTTATATTTACATCAAAAGATATTTGCAAACGAGTTAGTGGTTCTGTGCATTGACGGGCAGTCTGCATGAACTGGCAATGAGAAGGATACACACAGTTAATGGTGGGTCTCTCGTGAGCATGGGGTTAGAGAGGTGGAGAAGAGCACGTTTCTTATTAAGAAAAAAATAATCGAAGCCACAAGAGCCTAGTTGCCAAGTATAAGAAAACATTTGAACTGGTATTCTTCTCTTTAGGAGCCCCCCCATTTTAGTTTTCTACCAATGACAGTGGTTACAAATGCTAGAAAAATGGGCGTCACTTTCTCTTACATCAACAGAATTACAAAGTTATTGTAAAGATGCTGTACAGATAGTGTAAAGAGTTTTAAAAGGCACTGTAATTGGTAAAAAATATCTGAAAAATATTTGAAAAATATAAGTGCGAGATTTGCCAACCAAGGAGCATGCAGTTAGAACTGTAAGACGAGCCTGTGAGAGCCGTGCTTCTCTGACTGGGTCAGAAGCATGGAAGTAGCACGTGTCTGATACCACCTGTATCTTCGAACATAACATTGTTGCATTAAAATGTTTTTTGTTTATTTCATTTTTAAACCACTTTATTGATGTATGATTGACTGTTAAAAAGCAGCACTGTTTAATGTGTACAACTCTATGAGTTTGAGGATGTCATCAAAACCATACTTATCCATCACCTCCCAAAGTTCCCTCCCACCCGTTATTATTATTACTTTTGATAGTAAGATCTCCCCTCCTTGCAAGTTGTAAGCATACAGTACACTGTTGTTTGCTATAAGCACTGTGCTGTAAAGATCTCCAGAACTTAATTCATCTCATAACTGGAGGTTTGTGCCCTGTGTCCATACCTCCCACCTGTCCTCCCCCGGCCCCTGGCAACCACCATTCTACCTTCTCTTCTGTGAGATATTACTTTAGATTTTACATGTGAGATCATACAGTGTTTGTCTCTATGTCTGGCTCATCTCACTGAGCTCATGCACTGGAATGTCAGTTTCACTATACTTGAAGATTTCCACTGCTGAATCTTGCAGTTTTCAAAACCAAAGGCATTTAACGAATTGCTGGTGTAACGTGCGGATCTATAACAGGTCAGTCAGCATGAACACACAGAGAGTTGGGATTCTTTCCTGCAAGATGAACTCTTCACCAATTCCTCAGCCCGCACACCAGCTCCTCTGCTGTCAATGCCAGATGCTGCAGCTTGCATCATTACTGTTGCAAGGTTACTGTTGTGAGCTGACTGCATTTGCTTTAGCTTGTTCAGGTAGCTACCGGAGCACATCTTTGGCTCGAGGCTCACTAAGTAGCTCTTGGCTCTTCCTGCAGATATTACCAAGTGTTTTGTTTGTTTGTTTGTTAATAAACACTCAATATCTGGTGAACACTACAAGTCAAATAGAAATCTTTAGAGCCCCCTCTGGGGATTAGTAATGTTCATGTTTTGAGGTTCATGCCCAGGTTTATTTCCCCATTCTTGCGCTGAGCCAGGTCACTTAGGTGTCCTCGTGGTAAAAAATGCTCTGCTACCTATTGTGCATGGAACAATTTACCTTTGTCATTTATTATTTTTAATTGATGTGAAATATTTTTGTTGCGTGTCCCTCCTTTCCGCTGCATGGAATTGCCAGTTCCCTAAAGGCAGGGGCTGTTTCCATATTTTTCTCTTAGGCATTTATGACATAATGAGGCCAGCTGTCCAGTAATTAAGTAACTTCCAAATCACTGGGTATTATTCCTTACATGTATATCCCTTATCCACAATGAAGAGAAGGTAATCCTAGAGACAATGTTAGTTTGTGTGAGCTTCCATGACAAAATACTGCAGGCTGGGGGCCTAAACAACAGAGATTTCTTTTCTCTTAGTGCTGGTGGCTAGAAGTTCAAGATCAAGGTGTCAGCATGTTTGGTTTCTCATCAGACCGTTCTCCGCCTTTTCGCTGTGCCCTCAGGTAGTCTTTCCTCTGTGTTCCCTCATTCCTGGTGTTTCTGCCTCTTGTATGAGGACACCATCAGATTGGATTAGGGCCCACCCATATGATTTCATTTAACTTTTTATTATCTCTTTCAAGGCCCTGTCTGCACATACAGTCACATTCAGAGGTACCAGGTGTTAGGACTTCAGCATATGAATTTGAGGGACACAGTTCAGTCCAGAACAATCCCCCAGTCGTGAGGGGACATGAGCACTGGTTGAACAAGAACTTGGTTTTGTCTTTTCAGAGCTTGGTGACATTTGGGGATGTGGCCGTGGATTTCTCCCAAGAGGAGTGGGAGCGGCTGAACCCTGCTCAGAGGGGTCTTTACAGAGATGTGATGCTGGAGAACTACAGGAGCCTGGTCTCGCTGGGTAAGGCTCCCTTCCCACACCTGTGCGCTACTGTAACCCAGAAGTCTCGCTCCTTTAGCACCGTGCCCCAAACTAGCCCTCCCTCCTTGAGCTAGGAGGCCTGTATTCCAAGTCTGGACAGACCCAGAGCACAACCACCTGCTGTTTCTTTTTATGTATTTAGGACTTTGCTTCTCTAAGCCTGATATGATCTCCTCATTGGAACAAAGGAAGGAGCCCTGGTTGCCCAAGAGAAACTTGATGAGAGGCCATTGCCCAGGTGAGCACCCAGGTGGGGTAAAGCCACTGCTGGTCACAGCTCAGCCATCTCAGACCTGTAGGATCATCAGCAGACTCTTCTAAGAGCCTGGAGGGCAAGTTAAGTTTTCTTGAGAATGGACTCCCCAGGTTTTCATCTCCCCCATCTCTTCTCTCCAACATTGCTCCCCTCCCTCTAAACATAACTTCAGTTCTTCTACTGTGGACCCCATTTTTTTCCAAGCTGCTTCTCAGGCCCTTTGCCACTCAGACTTACGTAATCGTCTCGTTTTTAAAAAACTCTTTGGCTAATTCTGATATCCTTTTTATTGTCTTTGATTAATTCACCGATTTATGAACATTTTTTTTCTTAATTTTAAATTTTCAACTACGGATGACATTCAGTATTATACTAGTTTCAGATGTATAGCATAGTGGTTAGACATTTATGTACCTTACAGAGTGATTCCCCTGATTAGTCCCCACCTGGCACTATATAGTTATTACCATATTATTGATGGTATTCTCTGTGCTGTACTTTATATCCTGTGACTGCAGTAAAGCCTTGGATTGAGAGTAACTTGGTTTGGGAGTGTTCCGTAAAACTTGAGCAAACATTTCTGTTAGGTTGGTGCAAAAGTAATTGCAGTTTGTACTTGTAGTGGCAAAAACCGCAATTACTTTTGCACCAGCCTGATAATACATTTTTAAATTGGTAAACGAGCAATGTCTTGCAAGACAAGTAGTTTATTTCTGGAACAAATTGTGCTAGCAAACCGAGGTATGACTATATTTTGTAACATTTACAGACTTATTTTAATTCATTTTTACTGACTGTAGACTTTGAGTAAGGTCATCAGGTGCTGGTTGATACAATGAATAACTAATCATCTCACCTGAAACCAATATAAAATAATACTGAATGTCAGCTGTAATTGAAAAAATAAAAAAATTCAAAAAAAAAGAATTAGGCATCTCATAGGGGAGATAAAACATACCTGTACATAAACGAAATAAACTGCTATTCTGTGTGTGATAAGTGTAAATGAGGTCTTAAGAGGAAAAAGAAAATTCATTCTCAGTTTCAAGCCAGGGAAAGGAGCCTGAGCAGAAACTTTGGAATTCGAAAAAGAGAGGGGTAGTTTAAGAGATGAGTTTGGGTTCAGCCATAATTGATTTGGGGTTCAAGTGGACTTCACGGTGCAGACAGGGTTATTGGCTCTCAGAAGAAAAGAACACTGATTCTGATCTGATGGAATATTCTTGCAGATATTGCGATGATATTTATACCACTGGGAATACAGAGCTTTAAACCACAGCATTATTTCCGGAACAACAAATTATAATCAAGTAAGACAAGGAATCATAATTACAGATTTCTGTTGAAGGTTACCATAATAGGAAATGGCAAGAATTTCAAGACTTGAGAATTTTGTAAGACCTCTTTGTTCAAATCATACTTCAAAGGAAAAGTTTGTATTGACAGAACAGGGCAGGTTATTCAGTTACAAAGTACAACAGTGCACATGGGTCGTCACATGGCACAGGAAAACTAGAATGTATTTCTGTGAATGTTTTCCATTTAACATCCTATTAAATCACATTGTTATTAGTTAGCCTTGTAATGAAAAAGGCATACTGCACTGGGGAAGAAATTTTTGCTGGATAAAATAGAAGAAGAGTCAAAGTGGATTTTACTGAATAAGCTAAAGTAAGGATTAGGAAGGGTTTTCTTCTTCAGTCTCCCCTTCCTCTTGGTCTGATTAGCCATATTTTATCTTAGATTTACATCTGAGTGAGCTCTCTCATCTGATCTTCGATTTCCTTTTTCAGTCTCCTGCTAAAAGCATAATGTGCACTGCTTGGCTAACATTTAAATGAGAAAGCTCATATCATTGAGGGTTAAAGCTACACAAATTGGGGAATGGGAGGTTGGTCAGTCACAAAGGAGCTTTCTGAAAATTATGCTTTTCTGATTAATTTACTGATTACATTTTGGAAGTTCTTTTTCCTACTAATGCATAACAAAAGCGATATTTACTTTCTTAATACCTTTCAGGCTGGAAGGCTGTGCCAGAGACCAAGGAGGTACCTCCACAGGATTTCTGTGAAGAAACATTGTCCCAGGCAGTGCTAGTGGGGACACGTACCAGTTGCAGAGTGGAGCGCTCTGTGTTAGGAGGACCCTGGGATTATGAGGCTCTGTTTGGGAGGCAGCCGGTAAGTCAGGAGGGAAATGGAGGGAGAGGACCTGTGCATGGGTAACTTGCATGAGGTAGAGTGTGCGAGAATTCCAGTAGGGCGTTCCCAAGGCCAAGGCCAAGGGCAGGACCCCGGATAATGGCTCCCGGTTTCAGTAGACAGGGTGGCAGGAGTCGAACTGCAAGACGCAGTGTCCTTTGTTAAGAAACTCTTCTTGAGGAAAGAGACCATGGGTACAGTAAGCATGGGAGAGGTTCCCCTTCGCACACTGGCCTCCCCAGAGGGAAGACTGTGCAGCCACGCTACACACATGGAAAGCAGGGAAAATTCAGTTGTGATGAATCACAAGTTGGTTTAATTCAGAAACATTTGACATGTAATGTGTGAGAAAACCTCGAACAGGCTCTCAACCCATCCTTTTCATCAGAGATTTCAAACAAGTGGAAAACCCTATAGATTTATCAAATAATGCGTATGAACGTGAGGAAGCCTTCAGTCGACATTAGATAATTCATACTGTGTGTGAGGCTATTCTCCACAGAATTAGATTCTTCATGGCAAAAATAGGCCCTCCTATTTTTCTCTGTTTTCCCCAAACATATATGCTATAACTGGGACCAGTCATTATGTGACCTGGATCTCTCAGAACCTACATGACAATTCTTGGTACAGAGTTCCTCCATCACAGTGTGTTGATACAGCCCACCCCGTCAGAGCCATTGCAGGTTCACGAGCATGGTGTTATCAAAAAACGTGATTGTGCCATTTTAGGGCTTGGTGACCATTGCGAATATGGCCATAGACCTCTCCCAGCAGTTAGACCCAGCTCAGAAGAGTTTCTGTAAGAATGTGATGTGGGAGAACCACGACCTGGGGTCAGTAGGTAAGAGTGTCCCTGTCCCAAATCTGAATTTATCTTTCCTCAGTTTTGAAGTTTGTGTGTATGTGTTTCTGTGTATCTGTACCTCTGTGTGTGTGTGTCTGTGTCTGTGTCTGTGTCTATGTGTTTCTGTGTATTTGTACCTCTGTGTGTGTGTGTGTGTGTGTGTGTGTGTGTGTGTGTGTGTGTGTGTGTGTGGTTCTCAAGTCTTGGGCTGAATTTTTGCTCCTGCGTCCTAAGATCAGAGCTTGCCATTTGTAGAGTTGAAAGTTGGTATCTTCATTAGGCTTGAAGCATTTCCTTTGCTGTCTTTTGGAGTCTTCTCACTTTTCTTTCTGCTCCTTTCTGTAATATCACTCATCTCTCAAAGCCAAGAAACTGGTTCTTGGTTCAGAGTACCAGGAGCATGACAGAACCCCATGTCTTTCCCACACGTAGGACGCTGTGTGCCTGAGCCAGGTTTGGTTTCTTTACTGGAGCAAGGGAAGGAGCCCTGGCTGGTGAAGAGAGAGCTGACAGGAGCCCTGTTCTCAGGTGAGCACGGGAGGCCTGGCATGGAAATCCCACCGCAGGTCAGGGCATAGCTTTTCCTGAGACCAAGTCCTTGCACATGTCCAGGAGAAAACTACCAAGTCCTCTCAGTCTGGAGACAAAATTGAGGTTAGGGCTTTCAGAATTCCTCTCTCCTGCTCCTGGGCTCCTTTCCCTCTAGCGATAGTCACTCCGGGTACTGCTGCCCCTGTTTCTGCACTTGATATGCATCAGCCCTTGGTTCCTTAAGTGACCTTTCCCGACCCAGTGCAATCCTTTGCTGTCTTCCAAAGGTTTCCCCTTCCGTGATCAAATGGCCTGTTCACTTCACTGTGCACCCATTTCTGTAAGAACCATGAATCAAAAGTCACTAGGGCGCCGCTCTACTTGGCGCTGGTAGGTGACTGGAGAAAGGAAATATGCGCACGTGTTGTAAACCATTTAGTAATCCTCTAATGGGTGAAGATGTGTGCGTGGGTAACTTGCATGAGGTAGTTTGTAGTTTCCAGTGGGGCGTTACTGAGGCGAAAGGCAAGGTTCCCAGTAGCGTCCTGGTTACAATTGGACAGGATGGGCAGAAGTTGGATCCCAAGAAATGGAGGGTCTCTTCCTCCTTTGATACACAAAGGAAAGAGAAGAAATTTCTTTCAAAAATAATGGTTTGTGGAAACTGTAATCCTGTCATCTGCCTGGAAAAAGAGTAGAAAATCATAACCCATAAGCACAGTATGTTAACAAGGCAATTTTAGATCCCTTACAAGTCACGATAAACACATTTTTAAAAGTAGGAATTATAGTGTAGAATCAGTCACACATGCAGATGTTTATCGTATGCGTTTCATGTTGTACATATTCAGTTAGGTTAATTCACATTTATTAGTATGAAAAATACCCTTAGAATAGATACCTTTATATAAGTAAGTGAAAACTATGCATTTTGGGGATTGCCGTGTCCCTGAATATGAACATCTGCTAGGCTCTGAAAGTTTGCTTTGCTTTTACCAGCTCCAGCGATGACAAAATGTATGGGTTTAATTGCGTTCTCATAGCATTAGGTATTTTGATGAAGATGTTTGCTTATTTGGCAAAAGATCATAGCCTAGTTATATTTTTTTCTTATGAACGTGGTTGAATACTTTCCCTAAATGTGGTTATTCTCTTTATCCTTTTGTAAAGTATTTATCATTTATACCCATTTCTCTGTTCATGTCTTAAATGTTTTCTTAACAGTCCCAGTGACTGTCTGATGTATTGTCTCAAACTGTTTTTCATATATGGTAATAAGTTTTTGTTTTAATTAGACCTTTTTAAATTGTCATATATAAAAATTTCTCCCTTTATTTGTGTCTTTAGAAACTTAATACATATAGTTTTGCTTTATTTTTTTAATGACTTTCTAGTATTACAATATATGGATAAACTGTAATTTACTTAGCGGACTTACTGTTGAGGGCATCTAAACATTTAAATCTTCCAGTTTTTACCTATAATAAACACTGGTCCTGTTAGTACATACCTCTTTGCATGATCAAAATGTACATATTTTTAAAGTTTTATGGACATGGTGCTATATCCTTGGTGAACAATATGTAAGAAACCTGTTTTCTAGATATCTTCATCAATATTATTTGTTTTATTTTTGCCAAGCTTTTGGGTGAAAATTGAGTTTTGTTTAATTTCTCAGATACTTGTGATGTTGAGGATATATGCATTTAGATCCAGTTAGAGTTCATACTCTGTTAATGGTGACTTTATATTCATCACCCAATTTTCTATTGAGTCTTATTTCCTTGCCTTTATGTAGTATGAATATAAATCCTGTTTCATGAATGTGACACATTTTTTCCCAGTTTCGTGTGGCCTGTAAGTTTGCACAATGTTTCTTGCTACATAATAGTTTAAATTGGGTGATATCTTCATTTACAGAAGCATTTATTTTGTTCACTTTTTGTTTCATTCATACTTCTTTTTTTTATTAATAGATGTATTATTCCCATTTGTACCAAATAACAAATTTGTTTTGTCTTGTTTCTGTTACTTCTTTCTTACTCTCTTCCTATCTTTGAACACACTGATAAGTCTTCCTATCCATGAACATAGGATGTCTTTCCATTTATTTAGGTCTTCTTAATTTCATTCAGCAGTGTTTGGTAGTTTTCAGCATACAATCTTGCACATCCTTGGGTACAATTATTCCTCAATAATTTCTTTTAATGCTATTTTTCATGGAATTGTTTTCATAATTTTCATTTTAGATTTTTCATTCCCAGTGTATATATAATAAGTACAGCTGAGTTTTCTGTGTTGATCTTATATCCTGCTATTTTGATGAATTAACTTATTAGCACTAATACTTGTGGATTTTTAGGGTTTTCTGTATATTGGATCACGTCACCTTCAAATATAGTTTTACTTCTTCCTTTCTAACTTGGATGCCTTTTATTTCTATTTCTAATTTCTCTGGGTAGTACTTCTACAACAGTGTAGAATAGAAGTTGTGAAAGCAGGCATCCCTGTTTTGTTACTGGTCTAAGAAAGAAAGCTTTCAATGTTTAGTTGTCATTTAAAAAAAGAGTTTCTCCTTTTCCTTTATTTAAGATCATCTTTTTCCAGACATTTGTCTCCCTGCATCATCTCCCCAATCCTAATTTTATCTATGTATATTTATTGAGTTATAACTATATACATGCATGATTTTTGGTTTATGCGAAGTGATGTAGCAAAAGGATCCAGGCATATTTACTTCTTTCAATAAACTTAAAGTCTGAGGTAAGACATGTTCTTGTTTAGTAGTGTATATGAGCATATTAAACATAATATTAGTAATAACCATTATTATAACAACAGTTGCTTCAAAATGAGAACTTAAATTGCAAGGCCCTATCCTAAATAAATGGCCAGAAAAGTAAGGATTTTGTCAGGCTTGTGGAAGCAAGCAGGTAAATGTAACATTGATTTTATGTGACTACTGAGCTTTGGCCATCAATTGGCAATGTAACTTTTGTTGACATTTCTCAAAATATGGTTTACAGAAATACCATTTTCTGGTTGTAGGAGAATGACTGGCTTTTAGACAATTCTGATGAATGCTGTAGACTACAGTGTCTTTTTTGTGCTTTGGCATATTTCTTGGAACAACTATTGTGACATGATGACAGCTCTGACATTCAAAGCAGGGTGGATAGAGTGAGGTTAAGTCAATGGATGTCATAGCCTGTATTTTTAGTTGGTATGATTGTATAACATTTTTCCAACTCCTTAATCCTCTGATATGTAACTGATTCCACATATATATTTTTCTACCCCTGTCTCCTAAGGTTCATGTGTGAATTCAGTCTGGGGTCTTTTTACAAACATCATAGGCTGCATGTTTAAATGCATTAGCTTTTAGAAATGCATAATTTATGTGGTTTAATTCGCCATGTAGTGAATTCATTCACAGTTTTCCTTTTAGCAGATTCCTTTTTTTCTAGTACATGATAAAGGACATATTTGTTTTCTTGATATGTTTCAGGCCAACAATCTGTACATGAGACCCAGGAATTATTTCCAAAGCAGGATTTATTTGCTGAAGTGGTAACAGACAGAACTTTAAACACTAATTTGGAGTGTTCCACTTGCAGAGAAAATTGGGATTCTGAGGGTGTGTTTGAAAGGAAGCTGATAGATCAGGAGACACAATTCAGGCAAGAGACAATCACTAATAACAAAGCCTTCTCTAAAGAAAGAGAGCATATATATACCAAATCTGGAAGATGGTTCCCTTTGGACGTTTCAGAAGAGAGAGTTCATAATCGTGATTCAGTTAAGAAAAGTTTCCCCCAAAATTCACTGGTTATAAAACATACAGGAATCTATGCAGGAAAAAAACTTTTCAAATGTATTGAATGTAAGAAAACTTTTACCCAGAGCTCCTCCCTTACCGTTCACCAGAGAATTCATACTGGGGAGAAGCCCTATAAATGTAACGATTGTGGAAAGGCCTTCAGCGATGGCTCCTCCTTTGCTCGACATCAGAGATGTCACACTGGAAAGAAGCCCTATGAATGTATTGAATGTGGAAAAGCCTTCATACAAAACACATCCCTTATTCGTCACTGGAGATATTATCACACTGGGGAGAAACCCTTTGATTGTGTCGACTGTGGGAAAGCCTTCAGTGATCACATAGGACTTAATCAACACAGGAGAATCCATACTGGAGAGAAACCCTACAAATGTGATGTATGTGACAAATCCTTTAGGTACGGCTCATCACTTACTGTCCATCAAAGGATTCATACTGGAGAGAAACCATATGAATGTGATGTTTGTAGAAAAGCCTTCAGCCATCATGCATCACTCACTCAGCATCAAAGAGTGCATTCTGGAGAGAAACCTTTTAAGTGCAAAGAATGTGGGAAAGCTTTTAGGCAGAATATACACCTTGCTAGTCATTTGAGAATTCATACTGGAGAGAAACCGTTTGAATGTGGGGAATGTGGCAAATCCTTCAGCATCAGTTCACAGCTGGCCACTCATCAGAGAATTCATACTGGAGAGAAACCTTATGAATGTAAGGTTTGTAGTAAAGCCTTTACCCAAAAGGCTCACCTTGCACAGCATCAGAAAACTCATACTGGAGAGAAACCTTATGAGTGTAAGGAATGTGGCAAAGCCTTCAGCCAGACCACACACCTCATTCAACATCAGAGAGTGCATACTGGAGAGAAACCCTATAAATGCATTGAATGTGGAAAGGCCTTTGGTGATAACTCATCCTGCACTCAGCATCAGAGGCTTCACACGGGCCAAAGGCCTTATGAATGTATTGAATGTGGGAAGGCATTCAAAACAAAGTCATCCCTTATTTGTCATCGCAGGAGTCACACTGGAGAGAAACCTTATGAGTGTAGTGCATGTGGCAAAGCCTTTAGCCATCGTCAATCCCTTAGTGTTCATCAGAGGATTCATTCTGGAAGGAAACCATATGAATGCAAGGAATGTAGGAAAACCTTCATACA